GCAGGCGGGGTAGAGGTGCGGGTTCAGCGAGTCGGACCAGTGGCAGCGCCGGCCCGTCAAGCCGCTGACGTGGCAACAACGTACCACCCCTGGTTGGTTGTGCTAGTACATTGTACAAGTGAAATAGCAGCAGTAAAATCTTCTTACCTGGGTGAATTTTTTTCTCTTGCGCATTAGTCTGATGTTTTAATGATTCTTCAAGAGCTGTATGCTTCTGGTGCTAGGAATTCAAAGCTCCAATAATAAATATATGGAAATGTTGTAACATATAGGTTTTATTGCTATTTGATTGTTTTGTATTACTAATTCATTTATAAAATCTAGTTGTTATTCTTTTTTTAAGAATATGTAAGCTTTCAGTTGATATGTAGCAACTATATGTAGATTTTCTTGTAAAGCTACAGGAAGGAGGATACTATGTTGTAGTAGATCAGCTGGGTAGGCAGTTCAGCACCCAGGAAAGTCTGTAGTCATAAACTTACCTGTACTTACACCTGGCTGCATGTCTTTGTCTGTTATGTACTTTTGGTGTTGTTAGGCTTCCTCAGAAACTGTATGACCCAAGTGCAAGTGATTCTATGGGTGCTAAGTGGATTATATTTCAACATTGTAGAAGAAATGCATTTCATTACCCTTTATACAGTTATTACCTTTGTAATGAATATTATCAAGATGCTAACAATCCTCTGGGAAAGTACAAGTAGTAGTTATAATAAGCTTTGAGTTCATGTATAATAAGTATGTGTAGAATCTTTTGTGAAGCTACAAGAATGACAATACTATGCTGTTGTGTATCACCTTTTCAGCTGAGTAGGCAGTTCAGCACCCAGGAGAGTCTGTAGTCATCAACTTACCTGTAGTAGTACCTGGGTGTATGCTTCTGGTATATTTTTCGTTGTGGTGGTAGCGACAAAAAAACGGAACGGGCCATATATAAAAAGCAAACGATCTTCCACCATCAACCTCTGCTTGTAGAGTAATGAGATCCGTGACTAAAGCGATGTACAAATTGTTTGGATGCAAGGACATTCGTCACAAATCCCGCTGCCGACTCTTTTTCACATCATTCAGACGGTACAGAATAAACTCTGTCAGGCACAACAAATAAAGATGTTGCTGAGATGAGCGTACGATGTTCTTCCTTGTGTAATAAATAATAAGACTCATTCACGTTTCGTTGTGAGTCTACAATTGAAATAGATTTGACAAGGAATGTGAGCTTCTCAAGTCAAGTGCAATGAATCGGCCTGTACACAATAGTACTGAACAAAGTAACAACAGCCACTTGTCTACTTTACTGCACAGAGAACTGTTATTCCTG